GGGGGGTCGGGGGAGGTGGCAGAGGGATTTGTCGATCAAGTGTCAATTCAAATCATCGAGTGGGTATAAAGATGACGGAACAAATGGCGGAACAGATGGTGGTGCTCTTCCCTCGCACACGTCGGTGGCCGGCAATGGTGGTTTGGCTGTGATGTGAGGAAGCTTTTTGGTCGGACGTAGTTTTGGAGCTGGGGTTGGGAGCTGGTCGCAGCGGTCATCTGACCAATCAGCACTTAGTCTGGGACATCTGTTGACGCGGGCCACACAGTTGGGTGTAAAGTGGTTATATGAAACACAGCAGCAATGTATGAAGAATTGGTCAAGTAATTTCCGTGCTACCATTCACTTGTTTGTCTTGAATGGAGTAATTTGTTTTCCACTTATGTGTATTCTGCTCTCGGCATTTTGGGGGGGAAATGACGCCGGACTAATTTTGCCGCGCTCGGTTGTGTGCCTTCAAACCGAAACAACCTCACCAAGATCCGACTGCAAAACTTCCGCCATCGTTGTAAACATTTCCTCGCCCAATTGTGAGCTTCATTAGTATGCGGATCCTCTCAGTTTTACATGTGAGAAAAACAGTAGCCAGTTTCTCTTTTGCTCAATGTCTCACGCAATTCTAGCGCCGAAGTAGCATGCAACGAAGATGATACGCTAGACCAGCGCAATAGCAAGCACGGCCTGACTCACAATCTCATCTGCGCAAGGGAATTAGGAAACAAGATCATGTAATTCAATAATCAATACAGACATAGCATGTCAGCACAAATACTACCATCTCAGACAGCTCCGCCACTGTCCCCCACGTACGAGATCAACCACAGCAGCAAACCACTGCCCCTTGGCCAATGATACAAGGTTCGCATTCTTCATCTGCAATCAAGACCTGCGAGCCAACGGCATTCCAAGCGGCCAATCAAACAATTAATTTACTCTGCAAGTCTAGTGAAGAGGCTTGGAGAGATATAGCATCACGTTGGTTGCAAAAGGAACGCACACTCCATCTAGAATAAGAAGACAGTATGGAATTGTAATCTCGTGAACCACCTAGCCATGCTAGACTGTACTGTACTGATATCTCTAGCACTCTTCATATGCAAAAACTGGGCCGCTTCACCGCGACCAACAATGCCACTGTATCAACAAAGCCATAAAACAAAGCTGCCCCCCCATGGATGCCCATTCTTTTTGCCACCCAGCTCTTGCGCCAGCGCCATTGAAACAATAGACAAAGGAAGCCTCAACACCCCCAGAAAGGTAATGAAAATGGAAAGCTCACAAGTCGTGACGTCTATATGCCAAAAACTAGCTTCATGCGCTCGTATGTATAGAAGCTCACAGCCACCATGGGAATCACCTTAACGTAGCCAATTGTTAAACCGACAAAGAAGCCTCGGAAACCGCGTTCTTGGAAGATGAGTCTGGCTGTCTCGCCAAGGCGCATCCTGTGACCGTCCCCAACGGCGCCGCTTACCTGCATGCGCCGTCTGATGACCTCCAATGGGTATGATGAAGTTTGTGAAATCATACCAGCGATACCGCCGCTTGTGAGCTCAGCCCATGATCGGAGCGGTGCGGGCTTGTCAAAGGGCTGATTCTTCCGTCGGGGTAGCGTCGTATATTGGGCGATTGAGGGGTGGCGCATCAAGTCGCTGACGGTGTCGTGGGTGAGGAAGGACATGCCTGCGTACGGAAGCATGCCCAGCAGGGTCGGGGCAAAGCCACGGTAAAAGTTGACAAGTCCCGTCTTGGGGACAATAGAACTGGCCACCGAGGCAGTAGACTCTACGGCAGCAGCAACAGGAGTTGGAGCGCTGGGTAGTCTTGCCGTGGCTGACTTCTCAACAGGACTCGAGTTGTAAATCTGTCTGCAGATGGAAGACAAGGACGAGCGGCTGTCTTTCTTTGTTTCAAAGGCCAACCGTACTCGAACAAGTTCCAAAGGATATGTGAAGAAGACAGATGTGACACCGGCAAGACTACCGCTGAGAAGTCGTCGCAGCGGCGTTTCGTACTCTTTTCCGGGAATAATCTTGGCTCGAATCTGCTCGTAAGCAAGGAATTTGATGCCGGCGTAGGGGAAAATACGCAGCAGCGTAGCCGAGTGGCCTCGGAAAAGTCCCCGGCCACCTTCAAAGCGGTAAATGTCTCTGATGGCGGTTGCGACGCCGAATGAAGATCCTGTATATTTTGCGAATTGGGGATTGCTGGCCTGGAAGAGGATCTTTACTCGATCTAGCGGGGCGACGATGGTCTTGGCCTGATGAAGGAACAGTTCAAGTTAGCGGACGGATTCTCGCAGCACGGGTTTCCGGCACTCGAGGATACTCCTTACAGCGCAGCCTGCGAGCCCTCCGGCGACACCAGATCTCCAGACATAGTCCCAGGATCGAGTCGTGTTTCGGGGTGTTATGGCTTCGTCGTCGGTGGGACACACAGCCGGGTCCCTCTTGTTGGCGACGGCGGGAGCCATGGTAGCCACCCCAACATGTTGGCGCACTCTGTCGCGAGCAATTTCCGTCATGGGAGCATGGTCCATGAGGGGAGGGGACGTGGGCATTCCGGGTGTCGACAGCACTTGGTGTAGTTGCGATGCAGGAAGTCCCAGAGGACCGACGCCGCATGCCGGCCCGGGTGCGTACGAGTGATGTGGCGGACTCGGTCGACGGGAATGGCGACGATGGGAAGAAGATATTGCGTGAACAAGACTTGATCTATTTCAATCAGCAACGATAGGAAAGGATGGGCGAGCGTGGACACGGGAAAAGGGGGGAAGCAGCAGAGGTTGTGTGTGCCAAAGACAAGTTGTGGAAATGGAAAGGATTGAGGAATTTCAAGGTTTGGCACGCCACGGGGCCCCGGCTACGGCTGCCCACGAGACCTGGGACATCTGGGGGCTCGCGGCTTGGGAACAGCGAACCAGCAGCCTGTAATCCGGCTCTACACTCCGTGTTTGGACATGGCACTGGGATTTTGGCGGACGTCATAGTAACGCCTGCAGCGCATTTGAGCCTGCCCTGGCGCGTTGGCCAATGACATGCCTGGGCACTGGACAGTCTGGGGGGGAGAACATCCGGAGGCAGTTGGAGTCTTCAACCGTCTCCAGCGGCCACAGCGTCAGAGTCACAAAAGCGTTTCCAGCCGAGGATTGCCGAAACCCCTCTTCTGAGCCGAAAGCCAATCCCAACGGCTCGAGTTCCTGTTACCAAAGGATATCTGGACCACTTTTTGCTACATACCCTCACCCACAACATTTGTCTGCACGCTCGCCCACACGGATTGCCCACGTCCACGGCCCTATCGGCACCATCCTCCCGGGAAACCGTCTTATGTCCGGACCGCCACAAGGTGATGCTGCCACCGCGTCTAGCGTCCTCTTCCAAAGCAACGACAAGTCTGTCGTCTTGCTAGATATCCCACGCTCGCTGGAAGAAGCGCAAGTCTTGCCTGGTTGCCCATTGCTGCGCCGGGTGTACTCGGATGCGCCACCGACCCAACCCTTTCCGACGCCGGATCCGAAGAGGAGTCGGAGGAGTCGACGTCGGACTGGTCGTCGTGGCGGCTGCGACCATGCGTCTGGTATTGGCGGCGGTGCGGCACACGACTGGCCGGCCCAACCCCCTGCTACCCAAATAGCCGATTTGATGACCGCCGCAACTGTTCAAAGTGCTCTGCAAGTGATATGCGACGGGTACAACGGCCCGTTTCATCTCCCTCGCAAACAAATACCAGTCGACATTGAGGATGCGAATGCACCGTCTCCGCTACCTGTCCAAGACGCCAGACCGCTAGATGGATCCATCCGGGGCCTAAGACAAGTCTTTGCTGACACGGCGCCCGTGTTCAAGCTGGTCGTTCTTGACCCTCCGTGGCCAAATCGTTCCGCCAGAAGACGCAGCAATAAATATGCCACTGCTACTAATCTAGATGAAATCCGAGATTTGCTGACGAGCATACCCGTCTCGGCGCATGTAGCAAGCGATGGCCTTGTGGCTGTCTGGATCACCAACAAGGCTAGTATCCCTGAGCTTCTCACATCCCCCACGGGGGTATTTGCTTCTTGGGGCGTGGAACTGGTCGCCGAATGGACCTGGCTCAAGATTACAGCCACGGGCGAGCCCCTCTACGACGTCGGGTCGGTCTGGAGGAAGCCATGGGAGAAGATTCTCATAGCCAAGCCGATCGGTGCGCCGGCGCCGCCTGGTCTCAAGGCCAAGGTCATCGTCGCCGCGCCAGATGTCCACTCCCGAAAGCCAAACCTGCGGCTGCTGTTCCAAGATGTCCTGGGGCGACAGGACTACGCTGGCCTGGAGATATTTGCCCGCAACCTCACGGCCGGCTGGTGGAGTTGGGGGGATCAGGTCCTCCATTTTCAAGGTCAACGGTACTGGGAGCAGTTATCTTGAATGTGCCAATACCGTACCTTTGAATCATTGCTCCCACATCAAGAAACCAAAAACCAACTTGTTCGTTTTATAGTGCCGGCGCCACCCGGTTTCTGCCTTTTATTGGCTACATTAATATACAGATGTGCCTGCGTATCGTACATGGCTCGCCTAGTCGAACATTTGACGCGTTCATGTCCACGCCTAGTTCCATACGACTGAAACCTATGTTTACTGGCTAGCTTTGTGTTGGTGCCCTCCGCCTATCCTCTCAAGCGGCCGCATCCTTCCTCTGCGCTTCCTTCAGCACAGAATCCCACTTCGGATCCAGCGCCACTCCGTTATCCCACTTGACCTCTCCCCTAACCATCCTCTCCGCCAGGCCTTTCAACTCTCTCCTCTCCTTGGTCATCTCCTCCTTGCTCTTCATTGCAATCTCAAACTTTTGCTGATTAATCTGCTCCTCGTTCCTCTTCTCCATCAGGTCCTCCCTCATCTTCCAGAGCTCATGGTTCCACGGCTCCAGGTTGGTCGGCGCCTCAGGCCACTGGAAGGGCTTCGCCAGCTCGACCGTCATGATCTTCAGCGGCTGCGGGCGGTACCACGACCGCGAGTGCGAGTTTCGCTGCGTGAGGGGCTGTTGCTTCACGTACGACCGGACCTTGGTCACCTCCACGTTGTATAGGTTCCGTAGGTAGTCTCGGAGGTCGAACTTGGTGAAGCGCAGCGGCACCTGGAAGCAGGCTTCGTTGGGCGGGAGGTGTTCTTTTCGGAGGAAGGTAATTACATGGTTGGGACTGTGCGCGAACGGGAGAAGGTTCTTGATTAGCTTAGGGGGGAAGGGCGGGTGTGACGAGTTTCGGGGGTAGGAGGGGGGGTTTGCATCGTACAGGAAGACTTGTTTTTGGCCAAGTCTGAAGCCTGGTAATTGTCGGGCTGCTGCTTTTGCGGCTTCGGCCATTGTGCGTTGGTGTGGTGAGGTTCGTCGCGATGAGCATCTTTGGATGGCCGACCCAAAATATTTCTTGGAGAGAGTGGTGATTGGCTTGGCGGCGGAAGGCTCGATTACGTAAGCAGGTCTCGTGGTCCAACATGCGCATGACATCTAATCATAATATCGGATGAATCCATAATTGTAAAGGGATTATTATATTTTGTCATATTCCAACCTTTGTTTTAGGTATCTGCGTGCCGCCAATGATGCACTCATATGCTTGTCATTGAGAAACTATGCAAAGCGTTCCTGGCTAGTATCAGGTATGTACAACCCTGCTTCAACCCTCATCTTCCGCCAAATTCAACGCAGCACAGGAAATAAGCAACGTATGAGATCCTCCTATCATGGCTCGTTGAACTCTCTGTCTAGTTCTGTCATATCGTCTACACGCTTTTTCAGCCACTCCCAACAATTCACGTCCTCGTATTTCTTCTCCCCCGGCGCAAGACAATTATCCAGCACGGTACACGTTTCGTGGAGTCCGAAGCCCCAGAAAAACCCTATGCTCACTCGTTCCTTGACGCTCCAGTTCTGCGCTCGTGAATAGTGCTCAGGTATTTGTCGTTCGTGATTCTCTGTAAATAATCTGCAATGTTCACCACAAGTGCCGGGAACCGGCTTAGCATTGATTCATTGTCCGTCTCGGTTGAGAACCTGGAGCCCGCCAAGACTATCTTCCTAGAGGATGGTCAATGCAGAGAAGTCGGAATGCGAGCCAATAGAGACCCTGAAATTGCAGTCGAGAGGGGTCAGGGCTGGGTCACTTGGGATGAGGGAATAGTAGTTCATGTTGATACCAGCATCAGGGTACAAGACCTTACTGTCAAGTGCCGTCTCGGGAAGATCCAGTGACAAGGCAAAAGTACGAGTCAGAGCTCTCGCTAGAGATAGGCATGATTGGTAGTGGTTGGGGAGCGCGGGCTTGAAGTTGGGAGATTTTCAGTATTCTCCCCATGGCCCTCGTTCATGTGGATGTATTCCATGACGTTTCTCGGAATTTCCTGTACATCTTTGACCTCGGGATCGTTTCTGGGATCGTAGGTGAATGAGAAGTTCTGCCGTACGTCAACGCCTTCATCAGGATCGACTCGTTGGGTGTCTGGTGCCCGATAGCCATTGTAGCAAGCGCTCTTGGTTATGGATGCTTTGTTCTTTGTATCCACATCTTGGCGCAAGAATTCCAGGACTGCATTATAAGAGGCTTCTGTGATACTCTGGGGGACGCCATGGTTCTTAATATAGAAAGACCCAGTGTTGGTGGCAGCATTGCGGACCTGCCAAGCAACAGATTTGCGATCCTCGAGATACGAGCTGAAAATGGGAGATACATCGATGATGGGAATTTCGGAGGGCAGTGCATCCCGCAAGGGCGTAGGAAGGATTGTGCGGGTGACTGGCCCTGTTGGGGATGCCACCCTTATCGTGGTGGTTTCTGTGATATTGGCCATATTGAAAAGATGGAACGATCAGAGCGCGCAAGATATTTGATATGAAAATGGAGGGCGAGCAACATAGCCATGACGAGAGGCGAACAGACTTCGGACAAAAAAGAGGAAAAACAAGGAAATGGTCAACAAATATTCCGGTGGAATATCAGTCACCTAGCGAGGGGCGTCTAGACTCCTCGTATGAACAGATGCACAATGAGACCAATGTGCAATTTCATGCATTTGGTGTGGGGTTTATCAAGTAACACCGGCCAACTTGAAATGCTGCAGTAAAATCAATTTGAAGCCGCAGAATCTTACCATGGACCAGCAAGGGCAAGCGCAGGCATTGGGGGGTAATTCGCCAAAGCATGCTTGATCAAGGTGTCCCATTCCAGACCGGCTCCTGCCAGTCTCGATGTGGTGCGGAGTGTCATCGGGGGTATATAGCGGACAAAGGATGAAACGACAGGGTCAAATGGGGTGGATGTGGAAAAGCGAATGCGGTGTGCAATTTTCCTTCAATGCCATTATTGTGTACTGTTGTCAACTGCCGAGGTGTTGTTAGTTACACATTCTTTCTAGCACAACGCAGGGTACAATGCAGCCCCATCCGGTGCAGCAGCAGTCTCGGCCCCACATGTGCACTCATGCGTGCTGTGCTTGTCAAGCATTCAGATGCAAGCCAATTAATTTCAATGTTACTTCACTGCCACAAGGCGTAGAGGTCCTATTTCGCTGACAACTTTGTGAAAATCCTCTATTCATCGCCAAACGGGAAGGAAAGTGTTAAAAAAAAGCATCGCTTCCTTTGAAAAACATACGGTTGGCTCCTTTGTCGCGACGCCAACCTCGAGTAACCATCATGAATGAGACGACAAGCACGTTCCCCAAACAACACGCATCTTTGTCACACCGCGGCAGCATCTTCCACACCCCGTGCCCTTTCCTCAGATGAGTTCTCGGCCGCCAGCATTATCCTCTTCTAAGACCCATTAAATCATCACTTCAACTAGCCAGCATGGAGACATCACCCTCACTCTCCAACACTCCGCGACCACACCTCGCCAAAACCTCATCGGTTTCCCCGCAAGACACCACCACTGAACCGCAGATGCCTGTCAGTATCAAGCAGGAGGAGGAGGATAGACTCCCTGCTATCGAATCAGTGGACCCATACGACCAAGGATATGAGAGTTCGGTCGATGCTCCTATTGCTGCAGCGGCCGATATGCGACTGGAGCTGGAGGAGGAAAAGAGGAGCTATCCCGGAGCAAGCACATGGGCCGACGAGGAAGAGAGGCTGTTTGAGATTTTATTCCAGAGGGCGGATATACCATTACTACCGGCGCATTGGCATGTGGATTTTAGGGGTATACCCGTCGTGGATAGCATCTTTTCCGCGGGTGATGGTGTGCCTTCCATCATATACAGCCGGTCAACCAAGAAGGAGTTTCAAGGTAAACTCCAATCACTCTTAACAAAGAAAATGAAAAAATAAAAATGAAAAGACAATTGCTATGCCGTCATTCAGGCTAACATGACATGCAGCAACCATGGCCCTCATCCGTCTCATAGATCTGACATCCTCCGTTCGAACCACCGTCCAATCGGGTCTGCGGAAGAAAGCTACACGACTGATTAAAAGGTGTCTGGACAAATACATCGCATGGGCTGCCGAGGACGGAGGCTACTCTCATCTCAAAATCGTACCAAACATCACTACCGCCGTCATGGACGCCGAGTTGGGAGAGAAAGACATCACGGGTACTATGAAGAAGCGCATGCGTGCGCTAGCCATGGCCCAGAGAGAGTTCCTGAGAGTCGACCGAGATGATTCATTTTGGGATGTATCCGAGGTTGAGGGGGGAGTAAACGGCGCTGACCTGTCCACCTTGTTAGTGGAAAAGTACTTGAAGAGAGTTGAGGAGCTCGGCGTATCGGCCAAAGCGCCTTCAAGAAACGGCTCTCGTCAGAGCACACCGAGACCACGGGGCACATCACCCGACGATACGACTCCAACAAGAACGCGATCCTCTCCATCTCCATCTCCAATACCTAACGGATTGACCCCCGAGGAGAAGCAGAGCACTCGCAGCCAAATCAATTACAGACACAAACCTCCCGTTGTATACGGACTCTTCATCCTCCGCACATCCGTCTTCCTTCTCACCGCCGACAGTGCAAAGGGTGATTCTGCGTACGTCAGTTTCCATGTAGACATGCATTTCATGGATCGCCACCAGAGCGTGTGGAATGCGCTTACGGCCGCAATAGCGGTATGCCTGGCAAGAGATCAGCTTTCTGAGAGGATAGACGAATTTGAAGAGTTGCCTGCTTCTACGGAAGAAAGTGAAAGCGAGGTGTGAGCCTCGCATGGAAAAATATATATATTCAGATGGAATTTTCTTTGCGGACGTTGGGCTAGTTGCTTCATAGATACCCCTTAAAGTCGGCATCGAGTGCCTTCGCATGGAGCGTTACATCAATACCAGTCATGAACCTTTTCTAGCCATCAACACCACTTCACAGGCAAAAAACAAGAGTATAGTGTTGATGTTCATTTGGAGAGTCGGCATCCGTGATACCTCTATGTGCCGTAAAATGCCCTGCCCAAGCCCATCTATCAGCCTCCAACGCCAAACAATGATGTGGCATCTATATTTCTTTGCTCTTCCCAACCGCGCTCTTATGCCTCCTTGTTTCCATCTCATACAAGCAACAACCCGCTCTTTTTTATGTACATGGCTCCTGTAGCTTCAATAAAAAAAAAGGTCAAAATGCCGTTGGGCTCATTTGCCCCTTTACCGTGCAGTATCTCTATATTACAAAAAAAGAAACAAAAACAAAAGCTCCTTCGGTTTACAATTCGTCCTTCTCAGCAGGCATCATCACCTTCAGCTGGTGCAGCAACCGCTGGTACAGGAACAGCATACACCCGCTCTGGATGAAGGTCCATACACCGCGAGGGCCGACGCCACGGAACCACCCGGCCAGACCTTCGGTGCGGTAAATAACCTTCAGACCGGTGATGACCGAGGATGTTTCGAGGGCAATGGCACCAGGTTGCGGGCGGTGCGTGCTGGGCGATGATGTTGAGATGTGGCGTTTCTGAGAGGAAGCCACCTCTTTTAACTTGGACACCTGGTCTGAGGAGGGGTTGACTTGGGTCTGGAGCCGCGTCTTGACCACGTCGAGAGGGCAGGTGATGACTCCCGCGAGACCACCTGCTGCTGCACCGGTGAGAAGCTCCAGCGGCACGCCGATTTCGCGGCTCTGCTTGTATACGCGCGCCCAGGCGTGGAACTGCTCCCAGAACATGAATTGGAGCGCGGAGAAGGGCAGGTCTCGGTATAGCGTGGCCTTGTACCCGTAAAAGAGGGCCGACGCGCCTTCCGTTCGGACAATGGTGCGCGCGGCGTCGAGCGTGCCTCGGTAGTTGTATCCGGATCGGAAATGGGGGTTGTTGTAGCGTCCCTGGAGCTGTAGTCGAGTCTTGAGGACCTCCGAGGGGACGTAGACGACGGAGGCGGCGAGGTCACCGAGGAATCCTGCAGCCATGGTCAGCAAACTCTCCGTCACACTGCTCAGCGTGCGAGAGCCAACCCCCAAGTTCCAGAGCATGGGACGGCACTCACCTGCGGAAAGATATGCCAAGTGGTGCTGTAGGCCGTGGTCTATCAAGAATCGCTTGCTCCATTCATATGTGCCGAAAAACATGACGGTGCCGGGAAACGAGCCGCCAAGCGCAGGGATCCATCCCCCGTACAGACCTCGTCTTACGCCTTCCTGTCTCCATATTGTGTAGTATGATCGTCCCAATGATGTGTATTTTGACGGGACATTCGGATCGCCCTGCTGTCGTGTCTTGACTGTATCCAGCGAATGCATGAGCAGATCGCCGGTTGAGCCGCCGATACCACCAGCAATCATGGCCTAGATAACCCCCCAAAAAGGCAGTCAGTACCTCGGCCTACCAACCATGAAGGCCGGATCATAAACACGAGAAAGAAAGAAAACGAACATGGAGATAGGGCGGCCGGCCCTCCGTTTCGATATCTTCGCCCTTCATGGTATGCCCGCTCTCAGACGCTATGACGCTGCTTCTGCCCGGGGAGTGCTTCGTGTGAAAACTAGCATTGCGAGGCGGCCCTGCTAACCCGACGACGTGCTCGTCGCTACTGCTGTCACCAGCCGAAGCAGACGAGCCGGCGAAGAAGAAGTTGGAAAGGTGTGAGGCGAGGGGCATGGCCCAGACGCCCGCCGCCGTATATCGCAGAGAAACCAAAAAAAAAAAAAAAAAAAGGGGCGGGGGGTGGGAAGGAA